CCCAGCCCCAGGCCCAGGCCCAGGCCAAGGCCCAGGCTCAGCGGGAGCCGGTCCTGGGAGGAGCAGTGATGGAGCAGATGGTTAGCTGCTCCGGTCAGTGGGAGCCAAACGCTCGCTCCTTTTTTTTGCTCTTTCATGCCTTTGGAAACTGCGCCGGCTCGGGTTTCGCCGCTCAAAGCCACATTCATTAGTTGATAGTGAAATGAGAAGTGGTGGTATTAGTGGGCTGGCAGCGAGGCTGGTTCCACTCTGTCTGCTCCCTGACCACCTCCGGACATCCAGGAGCCCAGCCGCCACGGACGGGGCCAGACTCCTCAGCACACGCCTCTCGGCTTCCCAGCAGCACTGGCTGGCGGGCTTCTACGGCCTGGATCAATCGATAGCCATAGGACACTCAGTGTACTCGGAGACGAGCCATTACCCCATAAAAATACCGGAGCAGCGGCTCAGGATTTACTGTACGAAGGTGAAATGGAAGAAGAGGAAAAACGTCTGCTGAGCGCTTGTTTCAGCCGCTGTCAGTTCCACTGCCATGGTGACCGTTATAAACGCCGGGCTGTAATGTGGTGCTGCACCTCACTTAATGCATCCTCAGTCACCGTAATGTATTAATGGACTTTGGTTTCCACTGGATGTAAAAAAAAAAAAAAAAAAAAAACTCATCATCAAATATCATCCCAATAAAATCTGCCTCTTCAGCCGTAAAACATTTGGAAAAATAAATAATAAATAAATACTATTAATTATGCTAGATTTGCCTTTATTTTGTATTAGAATTAACTTATTAGAATTAAAATATATTCTTTTGGAATGAAACATATTTTTAGATTTTTTTCTCAATTTTTTTAAGTAAGTTTTCATTTTATTTTTGGTTTTATTAGGAATAGTTTTTCCTAAAATCTGCCTCTATAGCTGTAAAACATTTGGAAAAATAAATAATAAATAAATACTATTAATTATGCTAGATTTTTCTTTATTTTTTTTATTTAAAATTAACTCTTAAAAAAATAATCTTCTGGAATAAAACCTATTTTAGAAGTAAGTTTTTATTGTTTTTGCTACAGATGAGCAGGCACAAAGGCATCAATAGTCGTTACGCAACTGTATGACCATTTATCACAATTGTAAGTACGTTTGTCCTCCACAGTCTCACCGTTTCCACCTGACTTGTAAATCTTATTTTTTTAGCAACGGAACTGAACGATTGTTTTTTTTTTAAAGTAAATTCTCAATTCTGATGTACGTTTGTCCTCCACAGTCTCACCGTTTCCACCTGACTTTTTTTAGCAACGGAGCTGAACGAAAATGACAAAGAATCGAGATTCAGGAGAAAGTAATAAAGTCAGGATTTGTGCCGTTCAGGATCTGCTACACAACGTTGAAGCAGTTTAAAACCAGGACGCAGCGGGATGAGAGGAAAGTCCTACGACTTATGGGATTTACTCTGCAGGACCTGCAGTATCCTGGGTCAAATGAAGTACTACCAGGAAGTTTTCTGTACTTCCCGCCTGAGTTGTGACAGCGGTTTATTATTTCACCACCAGAGTTGGACGTCCACAGTGATGTTAGTGACATTAAGAAAAGTTACGACGTTGCACGACGACAAACGGTCTGAAAACGATGACAGCTGCTGACAGTTTCATATGTACATGAAGTACTTCATGTACATGAAGTACTTCATGTACATCAGTACTGTTTCACCACGGTTTGACAAAAATAAACCCCGTGTTATTTGAACAGAAGCTGACACTCCTGCAGGACGGTGGAGGGACTGCGTCCTCGTTTCTTTTCTGACTTCTCGTTAACTTCTTCTTTCTAATTGAGGCTCCGTTACAGCAAATGAAGCAGGAACCTCCATCTTGTGTATGAGATTAGAGCTGCGCAATCGGAATGAAAAAAAAAAAAAAAACTTTTATGAAGCTCCGTCGGCCGTGTAATTCAACTTTCTTTGGAGAGTGATGATTTCACGAGCCAGTAAAAGCATATTTACTGTTATTTAAAATGTTCCGAAACGGTGACGAGCATGAAATTGAATACAGACGTCTGCGGGGAAGAAACGGGAGCTGGCAAATCACCGTACGACAATTAATTCAAAGACGCTCGGTGGCGACTCCGACTCTGATGTCAATGTCATTATGGAGAAAAATTAATTTTCAGAAAGAAACTTTTCTCCAGAACCAAGATCTTTGTTTTGTTTCTATGGCGACACATGTAGGAGCTAAATATAAACGCTGAGATCAGCAGGTTTGTTATAACAACAATAATAACACCAACACTCTCATGTCTAGACCTGGGATCACCAATCAGCGGTGCGCGGTCTGGGTGTGTACGCAAACATCGGCGTCCAGGCCTGAACCTGGAACAGAAGAACTTTTGAGATTTGTTCAATTTTGTCCAAACTGTTTACAGCTGTTTCATCATGGAGCAGTTTCAAACCTGCTTCACAAACACAACTCAATGGCGCCTCCTGTGGCAGCAGGTGTCAGTTGCAAAGACTCACACTGGAATTTTCACTCAATTAAAATGTGAAAAACTCAATAATTTGATGGAATCATACTGCAGCGGTTAGCACGCCTGCAGAGAGTCCCGGGTTCGATTCCCAGAGGAACCACTAGGGGGCAGATTGCTGCAGCTGATCCGCTGTTAATACAAGAATGTCTCAAGTGTGGGATCAATGAAGTCAAAAAATATATATATTTTTAAATGTCATGCTGAATTCTGTGAGGTCAGGAATCGTAGGTCACAGACACTGGACCGACGTCTGTGCAGAAGAAAACGGGACGCGAGATCACGGTCGCGTGGACACGCACGGAATGAGCTGGACAGACAGTGATTAACCTTTACTGAGGCAACGGTGGGAAATAATTAGACCTCCCCTCGACTCCCAGAGAGAGAGAGAGAGAGAGAGAGAGAGAGAGAGAGAAGTGACTTTCCTTGAGGTGAGAAACAGATTTAGACTCTGTGAATGGAAGTGACGCCCACTGACGTCAGGCAGGCAGGCAGCCCACTGCAGAGACGGACGGACACTTTTTTTTGGGAGACAGCGATGGAGAACGCGAAGAGAGGGAGGGGGTTCTCTCCCTGCCCCCCCCCACACACACACCCCTCTCTTCACACCCCCACTTCTTGTCACCTCCCCTTGCACCAACATCTCACCATCCTGTTTATTTTTTGTTCCTAGTCGCCATCATCGTCTCCTCGCCAACTTCTTCTCACCCAGTTCCTCTCTCTCTCTCTCTCTCTCTCTCTGTCTCTCTGTCTCTCTCTCACCTCCAGCACTGGCTCGTCTTCCTACATGTTGCAGCTCTGCAGCAGCCGCAGCTCCAGGAAGTTCAGCCTCAGCCTAAAAATACTTTCTCTCTTCTCTCAGAAAGACTTCTCTTCACACTCGCTCCACGACGGATGAAAGTGTCACGGGTTTTTTTTTTCTTTCTCCTTATCAATTATAAAAGTTTAGAAACAGTGAATATCTCAGTTGGTAAATGCAGTGTCCATTAAACCAAACACAAACATCACAGCTGCTGGTCTGTAATAGTAGCAGTGA